CACACACACACACACATTTGTATACTACCTCCTTCGCAGTTGGGGGAGATGGATGCCCCTGGCCATTCTCTCCGCGGAGTGGAGGTGGGTGCAAGGTGATGATGTCATCTTCCTCTGGAGGCTTCCAGATGTACTGCTCCCCGTTGCCTATGAACACTGCCTCCTGGCAACACAATCAATTGAGGAGCTCACACTTAAACATGTTTTTAAATGTATGGAAAGTTGTGTTATGTTGTGCCACTGTGTGTCTTTGTGTGTGAACTATGACTTTTTATTTGCTGTTTTCTCAATAGGTAAACAGTGACCATGTTACACAGTGTGGGCAAACTGTGCATGTTTGTGTGTGTGAAAAACAGAGAGATAGAGATAGCTTTTGTTTTGAAGGTCAGAGATATGGATGACTGATTAATGTGGACTGCTTTTATCAAATTTGGTCAGCTCTGCTGTAATCAAAATGATTGACCAAACAAGGTTATAGTCATTAAAGTATCACTTCTACATTTTTTTTATTTATTTATGATAGATGTCTCTATTTCAACAATATCCACCTACTGTATGTTAAATGATCTTGCTTTTTATTTCTTTTTTGCTCTCCAAGAGTAGCTTTCATGTCAAGATCCAAACAAACAAATCTGTAAGTGGCACTGTCAGACAAAGAGGGGGCGTTGGAAATTATCCGAGTCTGTATCCTTTCAAAAACAGGTATACTTTAAAGAAAATGACAAACTAATTACTAGATGGTTTGTACCATGCAAGTGTCGAGGAGTGCCTGTTTTCAGCAAGAGTTAATCAGTTTCTCCTTTCTCTGTGAACTTTTCCATGAGGTTTTATGCAAATATAGTGAGTCAAAGATTTATGACAGAAAGACAGATCCACTGGCATGAAGACAATGCTGAAAAAAACACAAACCTTATTTAACTCTACTGGTGGTGGTCATTTTTAGCCAAGTGTTTAAGGAAGAAAATATAAATCCATGTTAAACAAAAGGAATTTTTACATTTAACTAATACTGAATGGTCAGTACAATGTATTGAGTTCTTCCTATTTCTTCCATTTTCTATTTGCTTAGTTGTAGATATGTGAAATCTATCTAATACAAAAATAAAATTCATAGTAAAACAACCAAAACTGCTCTTGTTAATTTTTTATCACTGCTGGTGATCAAAGCCAATTAGAAACCAATTAGAAAGAATGTAATGGTGTGTGCACATGCGACCAATGATGATTAAGCTTTTATATGCTCCTCCTGTGCAGTGAGAGTGAGTAATAGAAGCCGGGGCAGAGTAAATGACTACAATATGTGAACATTATTTATCCCCACACTGGCTGCTGGCTACCTGTTAGCCATTTCTAGATAGACTTGCTGATAGATTCAACAGGAACACACACACACACACAGGCAACTTGGCAGCCTGCCAAACTCTTACATAATCCATCCTTCTACTCTTTACTCTGGCCACTCTAATACCGTGCTGTGCAGCACAGTGCATAGGGGCAAAGGGAAGGAAGAAACACACAAACACGAGCATGCACACACACTCACACTATCAAGGATTTAGCAAGCACAGATTAAAAGTGCAGGTCAACAACTGGGCTGACATCCACAGCTAAGACAAAACTGTTTAAACACCATTATCAATCTTCTTAAGTCACTAACACAAAAGACAAAGTCACCTGTTTTATGCTCTGCCAAACATACACACACACAAAACCATACACACATTTACATGTGTGCCAGCAAACGCACGGGAAAGGCTGATCACCATCCGATCATTGTCCCTCTATTTCCCTCTCAGAACAACCCCAAACTGTGGCCTTGACTGTTTATAAACACATCCCAGCTGGCGCATACTGTACAACTCTATTATGTGATTAAAACATTCAAATAGAAGACAAGATTAAAAACACGAGATAATGAGGTTGATTATTTTGTAAACTAAGAATATGCTCACACATAAACTGAATATTAATGATGACTATGAATTATAAATGTGCGGCAAAATTTGATAAGAAGACATCAAGCGACTAAATCCATTTCAATCCTGAATATGTCTGACTATAAAGAGCTGTTTCTTTGTGGACAGTGCCCTCTGGTGGTACACAGACAGACATACAGGTTGGTGAGGTGGCTGGTTGGGTAATACAATGACACAGACCATATTGATCCAATGATTCCTGTACCTTTGGGAAGGAGTGCAGGTGAAACGGTTCCAGTGGTTTGCGCGGAAACTCCTGACTGCGATGTAGTGGAGGGGGAGCTGCAGAGGGTGAATCACTCACACTCGACTGGCTGTCTGACTGGCTGTCGGCCCCATTATTTTCCTTCCTGTTTGTCTTGTCAACCTTGATGTATTGAGTCACCAGTAAAAACATTTTCAGTGAATGCACACGGCAAAAGTCCACATAATCAAGTTTAAATTGGACTTCTCATGGATGTCAGAGAAATATTTTAGACCTATTAGTGGGACAAAATAAATTTAAATTAGTTGGCAAATGTTTTAAAAAGCAAGCAGTTATGTTATTGCGCAGTTTTGGTGAATCTTACTATTTTTCTTTATTTTTCAAAGCCAGACAAGCTGATTTATGTCTCTGTGTGCAGTCTGAAGGTTTGACAAACGGAGAACTGCTCCACTCAAAAGTTTAGAAAACTCACCTTCTCTAACACTGAATAAATTATCCTAACTTTAACAACTCTGCTTAAGGTGTATTGGCAACAAAATCCTAACAGATACATTACACTAGGCTTTAGCTTTTGGTCGTTAGTCATTTCCTTGCTACCACCCTCTACCACTGAACACTGATGTTGCAATACTTTAACCACTGCTGATAACATCAATCCGAGCCCACTGCTCTTCTCTTTCTGTTGCACAAACACTTCATTTAGTAACCATAGATACAATCACATCATATGGGAATCATATCAATATCATCAGTTCAGTAAACATGGTAAATGTATTCCATTACATCAAATCACAAATAACGCAGATTATCTGTCTTAACAGTTTTATCTGTTTTAGCACATATTGGTTGGAAATGCTACATTATCGTTGCCGTTTACAGCCCTACAACATCCTTAAGGTATCTGTTAGTTGATCCAACTCTGGCTTGGTAAAAAATATCAAATCCCCATGAAATAAAATGTCTCATTTAACGGAATCATCAAGAACATCTCATCTTTTATCTCAAGTCACTGTCTGAATAACTTAAAATGTATCTATGTTGTTACCTTTCTGAACTTCCGTATAGAAGCATACTCAGCTGCAGTTGGCTCTTGGACGGCCAGGGAGTTGACAGAAGACATAGGGGACCTGTTGACCCCACTCGCACCATTACCTCTTACTGTCATTGGTCCGTTGATGGTGCCATTCACCCTGCCATTCCCTCTGCCACCCTGTGAGACAAAATGACAGAGATGACACAAGTTACAAACAAATCACAAATCTAAAAGCACAACATTTGATGCACCCTAAACAAGGCCCAAAGCCACAGAAACTGCACAGCTGCAGCTCCACAACTTCCGACCTACATACACAAGCTGATGATGCATGCCATCTACAGGCAAACAAAGAAATAACTGTTATAGCTGTTACACTAATTGTATGCAGGTAAGTGTTAAATCTTTCTTTTTTGTGACATTAACACGTCTACATCTGCAGGTCTAAAATGCTGCTGCTATTACTTTTCTTTTCTGTAGGCAGCACAGGTTAGCATGTGTAGGACTTGCTTAGTAATGACAGCATAGCTCTCCCTCGTTGAGAGTTTTAATGTGAATTACTGGTGTGTGTTTGGGGTGCTTCACATTCAAATCATAATAATAAGTTTAGAGTTTTGGATGGACGTACATTCCCATTCCCAGTGCGAGCTCCGTTGGTCTGAGCTGGGGGGCTTTGGGCAGCTCTGATTGTAGCTGGCGTGTTGGCTGATGTGGGTGGTGGGGCAGAGGGTACTTTGGGGCCCGCGTCACCTTCCCGGACACCTACACTTTCATACAGGCCGTCATCCAGGCAGTGGGTGGGTGTGGGGTTGTTCCGTAGGCCCACCTCGGTGTACGTGTGGTCTCTAGCCTCCCCTCCTCCTCCTCCACCTACTCCACCTCCTCCTCCTCCACCATCTCCTGTTTCCCCTCCTCCCCCCTGGCCAGGTCCCTGAGGACTGGTGGGGATCTGGGGAAGCTGGCGCCCATGGGAGGGCCTCAGGTCTGTCTGGGAGCGCCGACTGTGGAGGAGCAGGAGGTCCATACTGGCTGGACGGCTCTTACTAACAGCTGCACAGAGAGGAGGAGGGGGAGGAGGAGGAGGGGGAGAAAGAAAGAGTCGGCAGAAATAGTAACAGCTCAGGGTTGTATATCATATATTGTCGCATACAAACTGTCACTCATCACTTACAGTTTCCATTGCAGGGAAAGCGATTGATCTCATGCAGCCTGGTGTCAGATTTGCTCATGGAGTTCAGTTTTGGGTGTCGAAGAGTACCCTGCTGTCGCAAACATACGGACAGGTTAATAAAACATGCACAGACATGTGCATCTGTATATATGACCAGCCATTCAAAGAGAACGGATACGCTAAATACAGCAGAAGGAAATGGAGACAAGGGCGAGAGAGGGAGCAAAATGAAAGCATGTCTCACCATATTTACAGATGTCCCTTTCTCTCCGGCTGGGGGGTGCTTGCTCTTGCTTTTTCTGACACAACATCACAGCGAGGAAGGTCATCAGGAGCCGGTGGACAGAGAGAGAGAACATACACACACTCAGAGCAGATAGATACTATCAGCATCAAACCCTGGTTAGGGCATGAAAGTCCTTGGTTAATAATAAGAGCCCAGTCAAAGAGTGAGTGGAGCGTGACTCAAGTTTTTTGCCAAAGCAGACATGTCCTCCACTGAGAAACTTTATTTTAATTTTCTTTTTCAGGGCAAGACCAAGCAAACTCAAGATTCCTTCATGCTAATTCCCTTTTCCACTACTATACTATCCTCTGATATAAAATGTATTTAGTGTAGTGTTTCATGGATCCCTGGAGGGGTCTGTAGCTATAGGAAACTGTTGATATGGTGAGAGAGAGTAACGAGATGAAGTAAGAAGACAAAAGCTCCTGGGTGCAGGTGTGAATGTGAGAAGTGTTCTACCCCCACCCCTTTTCTCTCACATTTGAGGATCTGCATCTAATATAATGTGTGATCTCACTCCTGCGCTGCAAAAAACAAGGTAGCAATACATTCCTGGTTTCCAAACAGGTGCAGGAATCCTAGAAATGTCTAATTATACAAGTTGCTTGAAATATAACGCAATACCACAGTGAGCTGTATCAGATCCATGTTACTGGTGCTAGCTATTCTCTCCTCTAGTGAGCTGGAACTCAATCCTTTTCATACAAACATATGGCCATCATACCCCAAGGGGACCATGAGAAGACGAAGAGAGCTCCCCTTGGAGATGTTCATAATAACATGGCACAAGAGGGGGTTTAAGGTAAAAATGACATGAAGACGTATAAAGAACGGCATCAGTTATAGACTAAACTTTTGTTTCAGACTAAGATTTTATAAGATATCTGCTGTAATCTAGCATCAGTGTAGGAGGGTTTTAAAAAAAATCAATAGCAGGGAATCAATAGTAGTTGGTCTCTCTGTCCGGTATCTATGGTATTTGTATATGACGATTCCAGGGAATTTGAACTGGTGAACTACACAACGCTTGACAAATCTGCCCCTCAACATTACCGACATTCAGTTGGGTGCATATTTTATTTTTTAGATCTTAACAATAGTGTGGTTTCACTTCCAGGACATGAGCTGGTTTGACATTTCTCTACATCCTTATCTGTGTATCCCTTGGCAACAAAGCCATAGAGCAGCCTCTGATTGGTCCCTGAGGGTTCTGAAAAAAAAAACAAAACTATAGTCTGTTCTATTGCTCTTGCCTGGCTCAGAGTCTGATCCTCTTAAAACCACAAGGTGCTCCATTGCTTTCGCCTGCTGAGGAGTCTGTTAAAGAGGGGTGACGTGAGGCTGCTCTGACTCTGGCCTGTCTCCTCAGTGTCCTGTAAACATCATTTCATCTGATCTGACACTCGCATCCATTAACATTCATTACTGCCACTCTGCTCAGAGCAGGGGATAAAAGAGATGGAGAGGATGGATGGAGGGAGGAGAAAGAAGGGAGGAGAAGAGTTCAGAAGAAGTAGAGACACATAAAAGAAGGAGAGGATGATCTGGGAGGGCACGGAAAGCTGGCAGTAGAGATGATAAAACTCTGGCTGTTCTCTTTTTTTTATTTCAGTACGGCCCTTGCTTTTCTTTCACATCTCAAGTCATGTGACCACCTTCTTACCTTTGGCAGCCAACGCAGACAAGGACAATAAGGATGGTGACCACAAAGGCAGATGCTGCTGCGATGGCTCCCAGGAGCAGCAAGTTTTTGTAGGTAGGGTCATTTGGCCCTTCACCGTAATCCATGACACCCACTCCGTCTCGCTTACTCACTCACTTCCACTCGAGCTCAAACTCTGTCACACAGACCGTCTGCTCAGGAAAACCTGCAGAGATACGAGTGGTGGGAGAAAGAAAAGAGAAAGATACAACATGTGAGTGACATGAGAGATAAGAACAAACTGAAGAAATGCTGCAGAGAGCGAGGTGAGAAACGGTGTGTGTGCGTGTGCTTGGTTTGCCTTTGGCTTTTTGTCACTGTCTCTTTCTGACATATCAGTTTCTATTTTTGACTCACTAGCAGAATAATGCACAGAAAATAGAACTCCTTACAAGGCAGCCAGTATGAGCATGCCAAAAAAGGTTTCATCACAATCCTTCTTTTTGTTGTTAAAAAAAGATCAGAATCATACCGTAACATTCATTTGACTAGCCAAAGAGATTCTTGTTAGTTTAACAGGAAAAACCAACTGCGCTCCCCCAGAGTAGTGTCTTACTGACAGAGGTACCAGATCCACTGCTGCTACACTTCTCTTCCTGGCAGAACACCTTTCTTTTCTTCTCCAATCAACTGTGGTTCAAACACTCAAAACAAGATTTTCATTTTTTATAATAACAGTAGCACATATTGTAGTGAGTGTTGTACTACAAACAGGGTAGCGCTTTCGCCTATCAGACACACAAGGGCAAATAAACCCTCCACACACACGCACACACACACATACACACACAGTTAAATCATGTCAGACAAAATTATCTTTGAGGGGATTTTCATGCATTTCAGAGAGGGAAATATTGCCCTTTTTACTCCACTGGATGGCAGTTAATATTTATATATTGGAAAATAAGGGTTTTATGTGTGAAACATTCAATGTGCTCAGAGAATACTGTGTGCTGTTTTTAAGGAACAGTTTTGGGAAATCAACTTGCTTGGTTTCTTTCTGAAAGTAAGATGTGAAGTCTGATACCAGCTTCATGTCTGTGCATACCCAGCTGGAGTCAGCTGGACATGTTTAGTCTAACTTATCATAAAGAAGGAAGAGGGAAATAGCTAGCTGGACTCTCCCAGACACCTCTTAAGAGTCTTATTTACTTTATATTCTTGTTTTTTTAATCGTACATTAATAGAAATGTAAAAAAAAAAAAGAAAGAAGAATTTGAGAACAATCTTCTCACGTCACACGTATTTCCCACCTATTCCTTTAAACTATCTTGCAGTATATGATGTAGCTACTACAAATAGTAACAGTAAAGTATTTATATACTGTAGTATTGGTACTGTATGTTGTAGAGGACCAGTGTGTACCATTTGTGGCATCTAGTAGTAAAGTTGCAGATTACAACCAACTGAATACCACCTGCCTTCCAACTGTGTAGGAGAAACACTTGCGAAAAACATAAATGGCCCTGTCTAGAGCCAGTGTTTGGTCTGTCCATTCGGGGCTACTGTAGAAACATAGTGGTTCAACATGGTGGATTCTGTAGAAGAGGAACCGCTCCTTCTGTAGATAAAAACAATTAATTCCAAGGTAATTTTTATTTTCAGGTGATTACACACTAATGAATATTGACTGAATATTATATTTCATTTCTTCCAATAGATTCTCATAAATGTTACACACTCAACCTTTAAGTAGATGATTTCCAGAGTGTGACCACCTCTAAATAAAATAAAGTAATTGATTTAAATGAGTCCAGGTTTGAGTTGCAGCTATTCATAAATGTATTACTAGGTTCCTTAATTCATATATCCAGATTCAAATTAGGGATTTACAAAATGTTGTTACACCATTAAAACTTTAAATGTCTTAGACTTAACATAGTAATGTTCTGTAGCACTGTCCTATCAAAAGCAACAACTAGTTCACATTATTATTGAACATCATATTGACCGTAGTTTATGTAACCATCAATCTAAATTAATCATATATTAAGCCAGCTTTAATTCATATTTTGTCAGTTAGTTCAGTTAGCTGGAGTTACACCTAGCATCCACTGGCTGTAAATATTTAGTAAGAACTACTCTACTACATAGGAACTAGTTTGTGTGGTGCGACCCGTTTTAATCTCCATCATACAGTAAACATCGATGTTACAAACAAATCTTAACTTGGAGCTTGGTGCAACCGGCTCCTGAAGTAAAGCCTCCAAAATGTCACCTGAACAGAGAATGTGTTCAGTTTGAGGCACAAATATGTTCACAATTACTGAGCACAAGACATTTGGAATTTGGAACAGTTGTCAATACCTGCACTTACTGCTTTGCACATTTCTCATGGGCACAACAACACTTGCATACAACACATACGCTGTACATTCTTTTATAAACAGAGACAATGGCAGCAATGTGGTTAAAGTATTAGATTAGAGAGAATGCTGAACATCAGGGATCCAAATGACAAAGCAAGCAGTGAGCAGAAGGAGGTCATGGCATGCTACTGTATACACTGTGTGTGTGTGTGTGTTGCTGTGTGTGTGGTGTGCTCGAGTGTCGGTGAGGAGAGAGTGAGGAGACTGACCCGAGACGAGAGAGAACAGAGAGAGAGGATTGAGAGAGAGAGAGAGAGAGATTGTGGAATATACCACCACAGGATCTGGCTCTGGCTTTCTGTTTCTTGGAGATAAAACTGCATCTTTTTTTTCCATGTCCTCTTTTCTTGGACCCTCTCCCTTCCACCAGATCTCCTCTCCTCCTCCTCTCTCTC